TGTTGCCCAGTGACAGCCCCAAAACATCACTGCTCTAGAGGAGATCTGCATGGAGGAACGGGCCAAAATACCAGCAACAGTGTGTGAAAACCTTGTGAAGACTTACAGAAAACGTTTGTCCTGTGTCATTGCCAACAAAGGGTATATAACAAAGTATTGAGAAACTTTTGTTATTGACCAAATACTTATTTTCATCTTTTAAAGGGGGAGAACTTGCACAATTGGTGGCTGACTAAATACTTTTTTTCCCGACTGTATGCTGAACACTTGTTGGCTGCTTTTCCTTCACTTTGCGGTCCGACTCATCCCAAACCATCTCAATTGGGTTGAGTTCGGGGGATTGTGGCGGCCAGGTCATCTGATGCAGCACTCCATCACTCTCCTTCTTTGTAAATCACAGTCAGTCTCACCAGCAAAGCACCCCCCCACCATTACACCTCCTCCATGATTTATGGTGGGAAATACACATGCAGAGATCATCCGTTCACCCACACCGCGTCTCACAAAGACACAGCGGTTGGAACCATAAATCTCCAATTTGGACTCCAGACCAAAGGACAAATTTCCACCAGTCTAATGTCCATTTCTTGTGTTTCTTGGCCCAAGCAAGTCTCTTATTATTATTGGTGTCCTTTAGTAGTGGTTTCTTTGCAGCAATTCGACCATGAAGGCCTGATTCACATAGTCTCCTCTGAACAGTTGATGTTGAGATGTGTCTGTTACTTCAACTCTGTGCAGCATTTATTTGGGCTGCAATTTCTGAGGCTGGTAACTCTAATGAACTTATCCTCTGCAGCAGAGGTAACTCTGGGTCTTCCATTCCTGTGGTGAATGGACCAGTTTCAGAACCAGTTTCATCATAGTGCTTGATGGTTTTTGCGACTGCACTTGAAGAAACTTTCAAAGTTCTTGAAATGTTCCGTATTGACTGACCTTCATGTCTTAAAGTAATGATGGACTGTTGTTTCTCTTTGCTTATTTGAGCTGTTCTTGCCATTTAATATACACTTGGTATTTTACCAAATAGGGCTATCGTCTGTATACCATGTCACAACACAACTGATCGGCTCAAAGGCACACCTGTTAATTGAAATGCATTCCAGGTGACTACCTCATGAAGCTGGTTGAGAGAATGCCAAGAGTGTGCAAAGCTGTCATCAAGGCAAAGGGTGGCTACTTTGAAGAATCTCAAATATAAAATAGATTTTGATTTGTTTAACACTTTTTTTGGTTACTACATGATTCCATATGTGTTATTTCATAGTTTTGATGTCTTCACAATTTTTCTACGATGTAAAAAATAGTAAAAATAAAGAAAAACCCTTGAATGAGTAGGTGTGTCCAAACTTTTGACTGGTAGTGTATATACTAAAACCTCAATTCAAGGAACATATCAGCCATCACTAGCTATGAACATGAGCTACACCTTTAAAATAGAACTCATATGCACTCTTTTAGAAGGCGAGGTTGATGGTGGGTCTTCTTGGGTGAGTCTTATGCCCTGCTGATGCTAGCAAGGCTGCATATCTGGACCCTGCTTGCACTTGCTATAGCTTACATTATGGCAATTGAGGTCAAAGTGATTAAACTGCTAAATACTTTTTGTGGGATAGGATAAAACCCAGGATTAATATGAAGAAGATGTGCTCACCAAGGGATGTAGGAGGCTTGGCTTTACCATATGTAAAATTGTACAATTTATCATTTGAAATTGCTAAATTGGTGAAGCATTGGGGCCAAAGGGATCCTGGCTTGGGTTGGATAACAATAGAAAGGGAACTAAGTTATCCTTTCACCCCTGTTTATACTCTGTCACATAGTCTTACAGGAGAGAGGTCTGTTGAAACTCCCAACCCAATTTTGTTACATTCAAAAGAGGTGTGAAGAACAGTACACAAGATATGTGAAATTTCACATCTAAAACAAGCATACTCATCATTGTAGCACAATCCTAGGCTACATATAGGAAATAAGTATGTGTACTGGAAATAGTGGCTAATGAAATGAATTCATACTATAGGTGTACAATGAAGATGTTTTAATGTCATACTCAGATATGGTACAAAAATATGATGTGGGAGACAAGGGACATTTCTGGAAATATTTACAATTGAGGGAATGTTTGTTAACCGGCTATCAACAAAATCCAGGAAAGAACCCAATAGCTGAGTATTTGGAATTACCCAAACATAAAGCAGCCATTTGTTACTCAATATTAAGTCATCTGCAGAGTAAAGACTGTAAAAACCTCAGAACAATATGGCAAATTGACCTTAAGTGTGAAATTGAGGATGATACCTGGTTGAAGATCTTGTCCAACTCAGGGAGGAACATAAGGGAAGCCAGAGGGAAACTTACTCAATATAAGACACTACATAGGTTTTATTGGACCCCAACAAGGCTTCATAAGATGGGGCTGACCAACAATTCTCTGTGTTGGAAATGCCAAAAAGATACTGGGACATTTTTTACACGCAATATGGAAATGTACATTAGTTCTACATTTCTGGTAGGATGTTTTGAAATATCTGGAGGAATGGTTGGGGTTAGCAATTCCAGTTTCACCGAGAATATGTCTCTTGGGCGATTGAACAGACTTACCTAATGTAACAAAGGAGGAATTTGCACTGATCACTGTTGGTATCGTTACAGCAGCTAGAGTAATCCTTATAATTTGGAAGGGTCATTCCACTCCTACTCTGAAACAGTGGATATAATCAAGGTTGGAGGTAGCATCTTATGAACAAATGCTTGCTAGGATCACTGGTAGAAATGACAATTCTAGAAGCTGGACGCGTTTTATTTGTCATGTTGTTTCTAAGACTGGGAGGTGATGACTTATGCTTGTGAACCCATTTAGTTCTGTATTGTAGCTTGTGAGATAGTATGTGTGCTATGTTGGAGGATATTTCTGGATGTCATGCTCAGTGTTCTTATGCTGTACAATGTTTTAGTTTTAAAAAACATTGTTTATTTGTTTTGTTTGTGGAAAAAATGAATAAATAAATAACTTTGATAACAAAACAAAAAAAGTGATTAAACTGAGAAATTAGATTTGAATGTTGGACAATTCTAGTTTTATAACACACACAAACTGAGACTCAATATGTATGTAAAGAAGTAGAGTTTTATTAAATGTGTATGTACTAAAATATACAAAACACTGACATCTGCCAATCCAGCGGCAACACAGACAAGAACAGGAAACTGGGAATAGATCCACCTCCATTCTCCCAGAATAACAACCAGCCTGAACCAGGATCTATGCTCCCAGTTAACAGCCAACTAACACCACAGGCTTTTGGCTACATCTTCCTCTAGGCCTAGGGACTGCTTGAAATGGACACAGGCCTTGAAATGTAGTTAATGGTATTCAAATCAAAATGTCATTTTGGCTTAAACATACTTTGGTAACCTTGGAGGAGACATAAAGCACTCAAAAGCAGTACAGGAATGTTAATTGAGAAACCAACAGTGCAATGCACGTGACATATTCCAGAATTAGAGGTGTGTCAACTGTGATATTCAAGATCAACTCCATGAAAATAGAAGGAAAATAAAAGAAATTAAACATCTTGAACATTTTATAGAAAAACACAGTAAAAAGATGCTCACAACAGGCTATTCTTTCCAAACACTCAGTGAGTAAAATGTGTTTCTCATCTCTCCGCTTGCTTCACAAATTCAAATGAATGGATAGAACAATGTTGTATACCTTGAACCCATGCTTGGTATTGGCATTCATCATGCCAATATGGAGCCCTTGTCATGAAGGCTTGGTCCCATGATAAGCCCTGTAGTAAGCCCATTTCCCAGTCGCTCCTGTTCAGCTGGTGTAGCCTGATACAATGACCTGGAGTGTCCTTGGTTCAACCCAGCCTCTTTCACATACAGTAGACAGCTACTGTAATACCTTGAAGGTGTGGTAGTCCCATCACCAGGTTTGTTTTCAATCCTGCTTGGAATGTACGTAGTAAAGCCATTTACTAGTCAATGAAGTAGAGTGAGCCACAATGATAAGACTGTCATTATAAAAACAGATTAGTTATTGGTCATGGTCTGTGAGAAAACAGGAAAACGGAACATCAATAATATCAACGAGTTGGATGCAGTCTTTGGTCCCTCAGCTTTCGATTTACTTGCTTATATGACAGGTGCTCTACTAATGGCATTTTGTATTGCAGCCCTTTTCACAAACGTTATCCTACTCACTTACTGTAGGAATTACTGTATCAAGCTCTTAACACAAACTTCAAGTTGTGATGCAGTCAACCATTTCTGTCCTTTGGTAGTTTTCTCCAGGGAACCTGATGTAGCAGCTTTAACTTTTCACCTTCAAATTGTTAGGGTGGATGGTAGTATAGTGCAAAAAAATGTACCCCATTAGTAAAATACATCTACATACAAATGATAGTTCCAGTTTCATACCGTCAAAGGACTTTAAAAACAATCTTTGTATAAGCACAAAGTTATGTCTGCAAATACCTAAGCATTCCAATCTTTCTGTAGATACAAATCCCTTGTAAAAAGTGCCCTTTAAGCTCACTCTGTAAGCCCTTCACAGGTAGAACGGCATACCATTACTTTCACTCCCAATGTTGAGGAAATTGCATCTCTTCAACTTGAATTGTCCTTTGCCTTGCAATAATTATGTATTTCCTTAAAGGAGCAATGAAATTGAGCTTCATCATAGAATGATTCTACAACATAAAAACAAAAAATACAACAAAAAAAGTCCTTTGGGTTTTTGGTTACACTGCCTTGTCATAAAGAGAATCAGGTGCCTCCACAGTACCACCAGTCTGTTCCCTGTGGCAGTGTCTAACCACAGAGTCTTGGGTCAGAATATCTCCCTGTCACACAGCCCCTGCACAGGGGTGTCTGATCCTTTCCCAACCAGTTTTAAAGGGAATGCTTCCAAAGGTCCATAACCTGCAGAGTTTCCTGTCGTTTTCATCTTGGCCACACCTGTAGCCTGTAACATGTCCTCCAGGCCACTAGGGGTCCTCCTCCATATCGTCCAGGTTGGGCGCCATGATGAAGTGTTTAGGATGGACCAGGCTGTGCTCGTCTGCATGCTCCTCCCAGCGCACATCATCACTCTCGTGGGTGATGTAACGCTCGCCACGCCTTGTCTCAAACTCCCTGAGGTCCAGCCATGTCTGGTAATCCTGAGAGAGAGGATCAGGAGTTACAGCAGGGATCCAATACAATGTCTGCCCTTTTCTAGGTCACATCATGAAAGGTGTGTGAATGTTTTGTTAGATGTGCCTGTGCACTGCTTACAGTATAATTAGGCTACTATTTATTACCTGTAGCCAAGGATGGCTGAGGGACTTTTCCACACTGTACCGCTTCCTCATCTTCACTTGTAGGAGGTTATTAATGAGATCAGTAGCTGTGAGAGGAATAGAGACGTAATGTTAGTCTCAAATTGAGGTAGACATGCAACATTAGTGCTGTCTTTCTACCCACACGTCTGGATCTACCAGCATGGTTTTCAACCCTGTTGCTCTTTGAACTGTGTGGTTTACATGATTCACTGACAAATATCCCCATCTGCAGCCCCATCTAAATATCCACCACATACAGTGGCTTGCGAAAGTATTCACCCCCTTTGGCATTTTTCCTATTTTGTTGCCTTACAACCTGGAATTAAAATGGATTTTTAGGGGGTTTGTATCATTTGATTTACACAACATGCCTACCACTTTGAAGATGCAAAATATTTTTTATTATGAAACAAACAAGAAATAAGACAGAAAAACAGAACTTGAGCGTGCATAACTATTCACCGCCCCAAAGTCAATACTTTGTAAAGCCACCTTTTGCAGCAATTACAGCTGCAAGTCTCTTGGGGTATGTCTCTATAAGCTTGGCACATCTTGCCACTGGGATTTTTGCCCATTCTTCAAGCCAAAACTGCTCTATTCTTCAAGTTGGATGGGTTCCGCTGGTGTACAGCAATCTTTAAGTCATACCACAGATTCTCAATTGGATTGAGGTCTGGGCTTTGACTAGGCCATTCCAAGACATTTCAATGGTTCCCCTTAAACCACTCGAGTGTTGCTTTAGCAGTATGCTTAGGGTCATTGTCCTGCTGGAAGGTAAACCTCAGTCTCAAATCTCTGGAAGACTGAAACGGGTTTCCCTCAAGAATTTCCCTGTATTTAGCGCCATCCATCATTCCTTCATTTCTGACCAGTTTCCCAGTCCCTGCCGATGAAAAACATCCCCACAGCATGATGCTGCCACCACCGTGCTTCACTGTGGGGATGGTGTTCTCGGGGTGATGAGAGGTGTTGGGTTTGCGCCAGACATTTTTGCCAAACGTATTTGCTTATTTTCTTCTTTAAGCAATGGGTTTTTTTCTTCCGTAAAGGCCAGCTCTGTGGAGTGTACGGCTTAAAGTGGTCCTATGGACAGATACTCCAATCTCCGCTGTGGAGCTTTGCAGCTCCTTCAGGGTTATCTTTGGTCTCTTTGTTGCCTCTCTGATTAATGCCCTCCTTGCCTGGTCCGTGTGTTTTGGTGGGCGGCCCTCTCTTGGCAGGTTTGTTGTGGTGCCATATTCATTCAATTTTTTAATATTGGATTGAATGGTGCTCGGTGGGATGTTCAAAGTTTCGGATATTTTTTTATAACCCAACCCTGATCTGTACTTCTCCACAACTTTGTCCCTGACCTGTTTGGAGAGCTCCTTGGTCTTCATGGTGCCGCTTGCTTGGTGGTGCCCCTTGCTTAGTGGTGTTGCAGACTCTTGGGCCTTTCAGAACAGGTGTATATACGGTGAGGGAAAAAAGTATTTGATCCCCTGCTGATTTTGTACGTTTGCCCACTGAAAAAGAAATGATCAGTCTATAATTTTAATGGTAGGTTTATTTGAACAGTGAGAGACAGAATAACAACAACAAAAATCCAGAAAAACACATGTCAAAAATGTTATAAATTGGTTTGCTTTTAATGAGGGAAATAAGTATTTGACCCCCTCTCAATCAGAAAGATATCTGGCTCCCAGGTGTCTTTTATACAGGTAACGAGCTGAGATTAGGAGCACACTCTTAAAGGGAGTGCTCCTAATCTCAGCTTGTTACCTGTATAAAAGACACCTGTCCACAGAAGCAATCAATCAATCAGATTCCAAACTCTCCACCATGGCCAAGACCAAAGAGCTCTCCAAGGATGTCAGGGACAAGATTGTAGACCTACACAAGGCTGGAATGGGCTACAAGACCATTGCCAAGCAGCTTGGTGAGAAGGTGACAACAGTTGGTGCGACTATTCGCAAATAGAAGAAACACAAAATAACTGTCAATCTCCCTCGGCCTGGGGCTCCATGCAAGATCTCACCTCGTGGAGTTGCAATGATCATGAGAACGGTGAGGAATCAGCCCAGAACTACACGGGAGGATCTTGTCAATGATCTCAAGGCAGCTGGGACCATAGTCACCAAGAAAACAATTGGTAACACACTACGCCGTGAAGGACTGAAATCCTGCAGCGCCCGCAAGGTCCCCCTGCTCAAGAAAGCACATATACAAGGCCGTCTGAAGTTTGCCAATGAACATCTGCATGATTCAGAGGAGAACTGGGTGAAAGTGTTGTGGTCAGATGAGTGTTGTGGTCAACTACAAGAAACGTCTGACCTCTGTGATTACCAACAAGGGTTTTGCCACCAAGTACTAAGTCGTGTTTTGCAGAGGGGTAAAATACTTATTTCTCTCATTAAAATGCAAATCAATTTATAACATTTTTGACATGCGTTTTTCTGGATTTTTTTGTTGTTATTCTGTCTCACTGTTCAAATAAACCTACCAAGTCATTTTTTTTATTTCACTTCACCAATTTGGACTATTTTGTGTATGTCCATTACATGAAATCCAAATAAAAATCATTTTAAATTACAGGTTGTAATGCAACAAAATAGGAAAAACACCAAGGGGGATGAATACTTTTGCAAGGCATTGTAGGCCTACACTACTCTATATGAGAAATCATAGTTGAACTTGGTATACAAGTTATAACTTAGAGCAGCTAACTTCCAGTTGTGTCAAATGACTGCTTGTTGTATCACACAATTGGTCTACTTCCTAAACTGTATAACTCATTACAGACGTAGGATCTTAATTTGAGCCAGTCTCCTACAGCAGGGTTTCCCAAACTCGGTCCTAGGCCCCCCCCCCCTCATCATCAAGCTTTGATTATTTGAATCCGCTGTGTAGTGCTAGGGCAAAAACCAAAACGTGCACCCAGCGGGGGCCCCAGGGACGGGTTTGGGAAACTCTGTCCTACAGCAGGAAAATAATCCTGCAGCAACAGGAAATGTGAATTATTATCTGGATTATAATTAATGGACATTTTTGTAGCGGTTGATACATTTTTCGTAAGGGAAAATCCAGTCAAATGTCAAAGAGCAAATTACAAACTTTAGAAGCCTTTTTAAACCTCAAATACACTACTAGTTTTACATTTCCTGCATTGCAGGGAAGTTCTCCTGCAACAGGGCAATCAAATTAAGATCCTACATGTGTAGTTACATTACACACTTTACAGAGATGTGTGTCCTCACTTACTTAGCATTCATGCATTTAAATATTATTCAATGGCCTGCCTTCCTTCCTACCTTCCTACCTTCTGCAGAGATCTCCTTCCATGGCTGGGGTGGGTACATGAAGGCAGCGTTCTGGATCTGATCGTTAATGTCCTCATCCTCGTTGAAGGGGAAGGTGCCGCTGAGGCTGACGTAAACGATGACCCCCACTGACCACATGTCCAGGGAGCGGTTGTAGCCCTTACTACGCAGCACCTCTGGGGCCAGGTAGGCTGGGGTACCCACCACCGAACGCCTGAACGACTTCTCACCGATGATACGGGCAAAGCCAAAGTCACACAGTTTAACCTGTCAGGACACAAACAAACACACATGAGAATGCTACATTGTCTCCTCCATACACACATTTTATCCACATACAATAAATATTTTGCTAGAAAGACCGTTGGTTGTTACCTGAGGGAAGGGTTCTGCCGAGGCCAGCAGCACGTTCTCAGGCTTCAGGTCACAGTGGACGATGTTCTTGAAATGCAGATGTCTCAAAGCCACCAGGATCTGTTACAGAACATAGCCCAAAGCCCATGGGTTAGCTATATCAAACCACATAATACCACATAATGACCCCTTCATATAACCTTATGGAGTCACTCATAAAATATAATGTTATGGATAATTGGAGTTGCATTAGTATTTTAGTAGTTAACTAAGCTATTTCTAGGTTGGTCTCTTTCTTAGTTTCCATATGGACACATGATCTCATCTCTTCTGCTGTAGTGTAAGCATAAACTGTAGCTGCTACCGCTGCACGCATGTTTAGCTGTGGTCATCTAACCACTCCACACTGCTGCCTGACTCCTGACTTTGACAAAGTCCTGATAAACCACATCAGAGTCAGGCCTGCTGCTAATTGTCATGTGCAGCTCCATGCCTAATGGACCAGCTCGTGTTTGGCCCAGGGGCCCCTCTCTTCTAATCAGCCCACAGACCAGAGCAGAGCAGCTGTAATCCACCGGGAGGGACACGGCCATGATGCCATCCAGACCAGCGCGTCCCGTAAACAATCCCCCCATATCCACACACCGCAAGAATAAACAGGCCCGAGGTTGAGTCTACTACAGATTATATAGACTTCCACACCACAAGAGAGAGGGTGAGGGATGAAAAGATGAGCAAGGACAGAAAGGGGAGTTTTTTAAAACTAGTCAGTTAAGAACAAATTCTTATTTACAATGACGGCTTACCCGAGCCAAACCCGGACAACGCTGGGCCAATTGTGCGCTGCCCTATGGGACTCCCAATCACGGCCAGATTTTGATACAGCCTGGAATTGAACCAGGGTCTGTAGTGACACCTCTAGCACTGAGATGCAGTGCCTTAGACTGCTGCGCCACTCAGGAGCCCCAGTTAGAGAGGAGATAAGAGAAAAGTAGAGAGGGCAAGAATGGGAGAAAGAGACAGACCTGTGTGACCAGGAACTTGGTGATCCGTTCTGGGAGCTTGCTCTTCTCACTGGACAGGATCATCTCCAGCATGTCTCCATGGAGCTTCTCCATGACAACAAACACCCTCTCTGGCGTCTCGAACATACACTCCAGGTTGACGATGCCAGGATGGTGAAGGTTCTAAACGAGGGAACAAACCTCAGAGTCAACACTCTATACTGTACCATGTTACAGTTAAACTGTTTGAAACTCAGCAAGAACGACTACTGCATTAAAAACAATGTTTTAAGTGAGAAGTAGGGATTGGTCTGAAACCTAAAAAACAAGGTAATTCACATGAGCACCACAATGCCTACTCCACCCATGCTCTACCAAGATTTTCCAGCACACAGCTTTGACATACAGTGAGGGGAAAAAAGTATTTGATCCCCTGCTGATTTTGTAGGTTTACCCACTGACAAAGACATGATCAGTCTATAATTTTAATGGTAGGTTTATTTGAACAGTGAGAGACAGAATAACAACAACAAAATCCAGAAAGACGCATGTCAAAAATGTTATAAATTGATTTGCATTTGAATGAGGGAAATAAGTATTTGACCCCTCTGCAAAACATGACTTAGTACTTGGTGGCAAAACCCTTGTTGGCAATCACAGAGGTCAGACGTTTCTTGTAGTTGGCCACCAGGTTTGCACACATCTCATGAGGGATTTTGTCCCACTCCTCTTTGCAGATCTTCTCCAAGTCATTAAGGTTTCAAGCCTGACGTTTGGCAACTCAAACATTCAGCTCCCTCCACAGATTTTCTATGGGATTAAGGTCTGGAGACTGGCTAGGCCACTCCAGGACCTTAATGTGCTTCTTCTTGAGCCACTCCTTTGTTGCCCTGGCCGTGTGTTTTGGGTCATTGTCATGCTGGAATACCCATCCACGACCCATTTTCAATGCCCTGGCTGAGGGAAGGAGGTTCTCACCCAAGATTTGAAGGTACATGGCCCCGTCCATCGTCCCTTTGATGCGGTGAAGTGGTCCTGTCCCCTTAGCAGAAAAACACCCCCAAAGCATAATGTTTCCATCTCCATGTTTGACGGTGGGGATGGTGTTCTTGGGATCATAGGTAGCATTCCTCCTCCACCAAACACGGCGAGTTGAGTTGATGCCAAAGAGCTCGATTTTGGTCTCATCTGACCACAACACTTTCACCCAGTTCTCCTCTGAATCATTCAGATTTTCATTGGCAAACTTCAGACGGGCCTGTATATTTTCTTTCTTGAGCAGGGGGACCTTGCGGGCGCTGCAGGATTTCAGTCCTTCACGGCGTAGTGTGTTACCAATTGTTTTCTTGGTGACTATGGTCCCAGCTGCCTCACCGTTCTCATGATCATTGCAACTCCACGAGGTGAGATCTTGCATGGAGCCCCAGGCCGAGGGAGATTGACAGTTATTTTGTGTTTCTTCCATTTGCGAATAATCTCACCAACTGTTGTCAACTTCTCACCAATCTGCTTGGCGATGGTCTTGTAGCCCATTCCAGCCTTGTGTAGGTCTACAATCTTGTCCCTGACATCCTTGGAGAGCTCTTTGGTCTTGGCCATGGTGGAGAGTTTGGAATCTGATTGATTGATTGCTTCTGTGGACAGGTTTCTTTTATACAGGTAACAAACTGAGATTAGGAGCACTCCCTTTAAGAGTGTGCTCCTAATCTCAGCTCGTTACCTGTATAAAAGACACCTGGGAGCCAGAAATCTTTCTGATTGAGAGGTTGTCAAATACTTATTTCCCTCATTAAAATGCAAATCAATTTATAACATTTTTGACATGTTTTTTTCTGGATTTTTTTGTTATTCTGTCTCCCACTGTTCAAATAAACCTGCCATTAAAATTAGTGGGCAAACATACAAAATCAGCAGGGGATCAAATACTTTTTTCCCTCACTGTACTACAGTAGCTATGTTGGTCTATTGTACTTCAAACAATGTGTATGCAGGTTGCTTAGGATTCAAACCTTCTCAAACATCCTAATTCTTACTCTTACAGGAGGTGCTCCCACAATAATGTGATTTGTACCGCAAGTTAAAATATTGGATTCTTCACACACCATACTAATCCCATTCCGCTACTTTTTCAATCTTTTTTAAATTATATGAAAGCAAGCTATGGTCCTGTTTTGTCAATTGCTGTGCTGATCAATGGGCAGTTTATTACCTCTGTCAAATGACTATGTAGCTTAAAGTTGTATGTATTTGTATTTCTTTTTTACAATAAAGATGGTGACGCTAAAATAATACACATTTACAATAGTCCTATATCTAAAAATACATACAGCCTAATGATATATATATATATACACACATACATACAATACCAGTCAAAAGTTTGGACACACCTACTCATTCAAGGGTTTTTCTTTATTTTTACTATTTTCTACATTGTTGAATAATAGTGAAGACATGAAAACACATACGGAATCATGTAGTAACCAAAAAAGTGTAAAACAAATCAAAATATATTTTATATTTGAGATTCTTCAAAGTAGCCACCCTTTGCCTTGATGACAGCTTTGCACACTCTTGGCATTCTCTCAACCAGCTTCATGAGGTAGTCACCTGGAATGAGTAGGTGTGTCCAAACTTTTGACTGGTACTGTATATATGTATTATTTTAATAGCAGGACACTGAAGTCCATTATTCCTCTGAAGAGTGTGAATTAGGCTGTTTGAGAAGGTGTGAATCCTAAGCAACCTGCATACACATTGTTTGAAGTACAATAGACCAACATAGCTACTGTAGTCGCCTGGTATGGCCTCCGACCGCAAGGCACTACAGAGGGTAGTGCGTATGGCCCAGTACATCACTGGGGCCAAGCTTCCTGCCATCCAGGATCTATATACCAGGCGGTGTCAGAGGAAGGCCCTAAAAATGGCCAAAGTCTCCAGCCACCCTAGGACCAAAAGGCTCCTTAACAGCTTCTACCCCCAAGCCATAAGACTCCTGAACAGCTAATCAAATGGCTACCCGGACTATTTGCATTGTCATTTTAGTAAATACTTTCTTAACACTTATTTTTCGTAAAACTGCATTGTTGGTTAAGGGCATGTAAGTAAGCTTTTCACTGTAAGGTCTACACCTGTTGTATTCGGCGCATGTGACAAATACAATTTGATTTGATTAGTCGGTCAAAGCTGTTTGCTGGAAAAGCTTGGTAGAGCATGGGTGAGGTAGGCATTGTGGTGCTCATGTGAATTTCCTTTCTATTTCAGCTTCAGGTCAATCCCTACTTCTCACTTAAAACATATTTTTTGGTTTTACATTTCCATGGTTTTTGTACCAGAAGGTGATTATACAAAAATTATACAACATTTTCACATGCAAAAAGTGTCTTTCGGGGAAAAAATGTGCGCCCGTTAAATCTCCGAACTGTTTCCCAAAATCATCGTTACTAAAGTTGCACTTGAAAACACTTGTTATTTACCGACTGCCTCGGAACAGCTAACTGGGTCGTTAGATGCTTTATAAATAGAAGATTTCCACTAAACATATAATCAAGATGTTTATCTGTCGCTCTGTGACTGCCGATAACTTCAAAGTTGACTGCAAAACAAAGTTGCTAATGTCTTTGCAATTGTTATAAACAAGAAGAAGGTAAAAAGATGCTTCAAATGAACAGAGAATTGCATTAAAAGATAAATACAGTAGGCTACATAGACCTATATATTTCAATCATATTTAAATACATTTCCTGATCAATAAATTGAGTTTTATTTAGCTAATTGTAGGCTACTGTCTGTAATTTTTTGCTTCAATTTCATGATGTGGAGGCCTAACGTGTGCAATGATGTGCCAAATATTCGATTTAGTGCATAGCTTAAGTATTCGAATAAGCCGCCTCAATATTTGCAGCCATAGGTGATCATTTCTCTCTAGGAGCTGATCCGTTGTCAGTATCTAATGTTAAGGTAAGATTTGAATGGAGAATGCTGATCCGAGAGCAGCGCTGCCTTATTTCGATCCTATCAGCATCGACACATGCTCTTACGAAGCACTTATTGAAAGTTCTCCCTACGTGGTGTTTTGGGAAACGCATGTGAGTCTTCGGCCATTATCGAAATCATGCATTGTTAAAACACTCGTAAGCTTGAGTTCCATCGCTATCGGGAAATCAGGCCCTGGCTATTACTTCATAGACATACAGTTGAAGTCGGAAGTTTACATACACCTTAGCCAAATACATTTTAAACTCAGTTTTTCACAATTCCTGAAATGTAATCCTAGTAAAAATTCCCGGTCTTAGGTCAGTTAGTATCACCACTTTATTTTAAGAATGTGAAATGTCAGATTAATAGTAGAGAGTGATTTATTTCAGCTTTTATTTCTTTCATCACATTCCCAGTGGGTCAGAAGTTTACATACATTAAATTAGTATTTAGTAGCATTGCCTTTAAATTGTTTAACTTGGGTCAAACATTTCGGGAAGCCTTACACAAGCTTCCCACTATAAGTTGGGTGAATTTTGGCCCATTCCTCCTGACAGTGCTGGTGTAACTGAGTCAGGTTTGTAGGCCTCCTTGCTCGCACACGCTTTTTCAGTTCTGCCCACAAATTTTGTATAGGATTGAGGTCAGGGCTTTGTGATGGCCACTCCAATACCTTGACTTTGTTGTCCTTAAGCCATTTTGCCACAACTTTGGAAGTATGCTTGGGGTCATTGTCCACTTGCAAGACCCATTTGCAACCAAGCTTTAACTTCCTGACTGATGTCTTCAGACGTTGCATCAATATATCCACATAATTTTCCTTCCTCATTATGTCATCTATTTTGTGAAGTGCACCAGTCCCTCCTGCAGCAAAGCACCCCCACAGCATGATGCTGCCACCCCCGTACTTCACGGTTGGGATGGTGTTCTTCGGCTTGCAAGCACCCCCTTTTTCCTCCAAATATAACAATGTTCATTATGGCCAAACAGTTATATATTTGTTTCATCAGACCAGAGGACATTTCTCCAAAAAGTACGATCTTTGTCCCCATGTGCAGTTGCAAACCGTAGTCTGGCTTTTTTATGGTGGTTTTGAAGCAGTGGCTTCTTCCTTGCTGAGCGGCCTTTCAGGTTATGTCAATATAGGACTCGTTTTACTGTGGATATAGATACTTTTGTACCAGTTTCCTCCAGCATCTTCACAAGGTCCTTTGCTGTTGTTCTGGGATTTATTTGCACTTTTCGCACCAAAGTACGTTCATCTCTAGGAGACAGAACGCGTCTCCTTCCTGAGCGGTATGACGGCTGCGTGGTCCCATGGTGTTTATACTGGCGTACTATTGTTTCTACAGATGAACGTGGTACCTTCAGGCGTTTAGAAATTGCTCCCAAGGATGATCCAGACTTGTGGAGGTCTACAATTTTTTATCTGAGGTCTTGGCTGATTTCTTTTGATTTTCCCATGATGTCAAGCAAAGAGGCACTGAGTTTGAAGGTAGGTCTTGAAATACATCCACAGGTACACCTCCAATAGACTCAAATGATGTCATTTAGCCTATCAGAAGCTTCTAAAGCCATGAAATCATTTTCTGGAATTTTCCAAGCTGTTTAAAGGCACAGTCACCTTAGTGTATGTAAACTTCTGACCCACTGGAATTGTGATTAAGTGGAATAATCTGTCTGTAAACAATTGTTGGAAAAATTACTTGTGTCATGCACAAAGTAGATGTCCTAACCAACTTGCCAAAACTATAGTTTGTTAACAAGAAATTTGTGGAGTGGTTGAAAAACTAGTTTTAATGACTCCAACCTAAGTGTATGTAAACTTCCGACTTCAACTGTAGCTATTTGTATTTTTGCAAAACATATGGATTCTACCTTTTAAAGAGGGGTGAATATCAACAGCTGCATTACTTTAAGCACATATCAGTTCCTGTAAGTGACTCTCAAAGTACCGAATAAGTTGGCTAAGAGAGCATTTGGAATTAAATTTCCCTCAAAATCCGGGGGAGTTCCCCCAGACTCCCCTCCATTTTTTCTGCCCTGTCCGGACGTCTTTTTTTGCAGTCCTGACTGGCCTTGATTTCAACTGACGGGACTCCCTAAAGACAAGCCACTTGGATACAAGTGATTTTTCGAAGCAGGTTACTAGAGCATTCTCGCTAACCCTAACCCTTTTCCTATCCTTAACCTAATTCTCCTAAACTGTTACGTACATTTTCCTAAAACGCTGCATAAATTCTCCTAACCTGCTACAAAAAAAGTTGGAGCTGTATCGAAGTGGCTTGTTTTCAACGTCTGTAAAATACATATTTTAAACTTTCTAAAAATACATGTTTTCACCTTTCATTCAGAACTTCAACGTCTGGAAAATACGTCTTTTAAACGTCATTTTGCTTACTGGGTTCAGATTTCTGGGAACATACTGAAAAGTAACTTGACTCTGTTGATCAGTCAGCACAAAATATGGATTAAAATGGCATGAAGAAAATTTGATTGATGACAAAGGAGGCAGAGTACTGAATTAATTCATCATAAGGTAAGGGTTTGAATTTGTTCTGGATGCTCGAACAGCGACGTCTCTGTCTCGTGTGTTGATCTAGCTAATTGTGTTCACTTACTGCAATGCACAGCCGATGCGCTACTTGCATGTGCATTGGCCGGGTTTAGATTCAACATTGCTAGCAAGACTATTTGTTTTATCAACTACAGTTTGTGTTGTGAGAGGCTGGTTTTGGTTGAGGAAATGTAGCCTAGCTAGCAGTTGTTTGTACTGAAACTTACATCTGGCTGCACATGATGCTAGCTAGCCAGTTTGACTGCTCCTCTAGCTACCCCGGCATGGTACAATGTTAGCAGCGTGGCAGTTTCCCAAAGTTTGATGTTGACAATGAACTTTACTTAGCTAGCTAGCTAGCCAGCTTTGCTTTATGGAAGAATGTAGCTAGCTAGGATATAGTATCAATATTGAGTTATGGTCTACGATCTATAAAGCTATGTTACAGTCTCGCTGGCTTGTACCTGTAGTTACTGGCTAGTTGGCTAGCTAAATGGCTATAATAGCAGCCAAGCACGTTCGCTAGCTTATTTGTTCGTGCTCTGATTTAGTTTACACAGATGACTTCAGCCATATGAAAACCTTCCATAGCTAAATATACCTAGCTATCTAGCTTCCTTTGCTTGTAGCTTGCTTCTCATCTGACTGGTGTTAGCTAGCTAGCTACAGCTGCTAGCCTGCTACTAGCTAGCTGCTGCTGTTGCGCAGAAACCAAGTTGCTGGTCCCGGTTTTAGAACTCTGAAATTCAGCTGAAAAGATATTAGCATTGTCAGAAATGCTACAGAAAGGTAGCACATCATTGGTTCTCTATTGGCATGTGAGAGCGATAAATTATACATTTAATTAAAACTGTTTCCCCTACAAACGTATTCAGTCCGAAAGGTGGCAAGTCTAATGGTCTCTTTATGGACGCTGTAGTCTCTATTTTCTTATCCAACGCCTAGATATTGAGCTAGGTTTGGGCAAGACATTTTATTTTTTCCTAATGCTAACGACCCTGTTAAAAATCCGGCATGTGGTTCTCGGTAGCTTCAATCAATCCCTTCTAAAGTCACGCTATAATACATCATGAGGTTCCATGTGTTACCTGTGGTCCTCTGTAGCTCAGCTGGTAGAGCACGGCGCTTGTAACGCCAAGGTAGTGGGTTCGATCCCCGGGACCACCCATACACAAAAAAAATTATGCACGCATGACTGTAAGTCGCTTTGGATAAAAGCGTCTGCTAAATGGCATATTATTATTATTATTATTATTATTATTACCTGGAGAATGGCCACTTCATTTCTCAGTTGGCTCTCCTGCTTGGTAGGGAACCTCATCTTGTCAATCACCTTGATGGCAACATCTCTTCCAGTCTTTCTGTGTTTCCCTGCCAACAGAAATAAATAATGTTAGAGCTGCCTCGATCAACTGTAAGTGCTGTTATTGTGAAGTGGAAATGTCTAGGAGCAACAACGGCTCATCCACGAAGTGGTAGGCCACACAACCTCACAGAACGGGACCGCTGAGTGCTGAAGCGCGTAAAAATTGTCTGTCCTCAGTTGCAACACTCATTACCGAGTTCCAAACTGCCTCTGGAAGCAACATCAGCACAATAACTGTTCGCCAGGAGCTTCATTAAATGGGTTTCCGAGCAGCCGCACACAACCCTAAGATCACCATGCGCAATGCCAAGCGTCGGCTGGAGTGGTGTAAAGCTCATCGCCATTGGACTCTGGAGCAGTGGAAACGCGTTCTCTGGAGTGATGAATCACGCTTCATCATCTGGCAGTCCGACGGACTAATCTGGTTTTGGCAGATGCCAGGAGAACGCTACCTGCCCGAATGCATAGTGCCAACTATAAAGTTAGGTGGAAGAGGAATAATGGTCTGAGGCTGTTTTTCATGGTTCGGTCTAGCCCCCTTAGTTCCTGTGATGGGAAATCTTAACGCTACAGCATACAATGACATCCTAGACGATTCTGTGCTTCCAACTTTGTGGCAACAGTTTGGGGAAGGCCCTTTCCTGTTTCAGCATGACAATGCCCCCGTGCACAAATCAAAGTCCATACAGAAATAGTTTGTTGAGATCGGTGTGAAAGAACTTGACTGGCCTGCACAGAGCCCTGACCACAACCCCATCGAACACCTTTGGGATGAATTGGAACGCCGACTGTGAGCCAGGCCTAATCACCCAACATCAGTGCCGACCTCACTAATGCTCTTGTGGCTGAATGGAAGCAAGTCCCAGCAGCAATGTTCCAACATTTAGTGGAAAGCCTTCCCAGAACAGTGGAGGCTGTTATAGCAGCAAAGGGGGGACCAACTCCATATTAATGTCCATGATTTTGAAATGAGATGTCCGACGGGCAGGTGTCCACATACTTTTGGTCATTTAGTGTATACACCACCATGCCCACGCCTGATCATAAAGATAGACGTGTGTTTTGGTTTGGGTCGAGAGAATACAGTATGTTTAGTTACAATTAATCAAAACATGGATATCCAGGCACATACCTCCATACACAATCCCAAACTGTCCAGATCCTAGAACCTCGTCAGAGAAGATCTGGTACACCGAGCTGATATCCTACAGAGTGGAAAATACTTTAGTATTACTAAAGTTTATTACATCTATTAGTAAAGGCCTCCTGTAGCTCAGTTGGTAGAGCATGGCGCTTGCAACGCCAGAGTTGTGGGTTCGTTTCCCACGGGAGGCCAGTATGAAAAAAACTGTAAGTTGCTCTGGATAAGAGCGTCTGCTAAATGACTAAAATGAATTGTACTGGTATGGTCATTGAGATGACAAATGGGTCACTTTCACTCAATGCAGAAGTATAGCACGCATGAATATCCCCATTTCCCATAAGGGTATCAGTGACTTCCTTAATCTCTTTTTAAATATTTTTTTTTTTTATACAATTGACATGCAATGTTTAATGGTAAATGAATAATGCAGAAGTAACAGAGGAAAATGTATGACTGGACACACGAACACACACACGCACAGAGAAACTGTGCAAGATCGTCTGAAGAAGTTACCATACTCACCACATTCTCCTGTATCTGGCAGTTGGACACAGATATGCTGACAGACAACTCCTGTTCTGGTGGGGGAAACAAACGGTTTCACTTTACATTTACATTTACGTCATTTAGCAGACGCTCTTATCCAGAGCGACTTACAAATAGGACTTTAAACAGTACAAATGCACAAAGTACTCAATGTATCCCTAACTAATCAAAAACAGAGATGCATTTCTCACGTTTTCACATCCTTCAAGCCTATCACAGCTGCTTGGACTACACACAGCAGATACAATAATGACCCTTTAAAATGGATTAGGAAAGATATGTGTTATTGAACGGCATAACTATGTGTTGCATTTCATAGTAGGGTTATGGGAGCCTCCCAGAGGCCAATATTCAGGCATGGGGTTTCAAAGTCATGTTTTACCACACAATAAAACATAGTAATAGTAATAATGAATGAATAATAATCTTATGATCAACAATGTGTGCCCTCCTGTATTAGTGATTGGCTAAGAAGCATAGTATAGTACTATAGGACACGAGGCTGTCTCTGCAGCTTGTTGTCATTTCAGAGTGTTTGGATAGTGAGGGGTAGTAAAGTGGTGGGCCTCATCTGTTTGGCATTATCACCCTCACCATCTATCTGATTTACACCACAATTCATGGCCAGCTAAATGGCCTCCAGGGGCATATATGGGCTGACAGGCAACGGTGCTCCTCTCATCTCCACTCTAACACAAATGCATTACTAAACATTAAAACCTGCCCTGGTGATTGTGGGCACTGAACCACAAGTGTGTTTATTTAATAACCGAAAGGTTTAAAAAAATACCACTAATCTGATTCGGCCTTCTTCATTATTAGATTAAGGTGCATTACTATATTGGATGCGATGGAAGAGGAGGGTCCATTTTAACACACACACAGATAATCCCCTGAATCTATGTCAGGTTTCAGGTGTTGCGCCATGTGCCCACAGGTGAGCGACAGGTTGAATGTGCCACCTTGACTCTATAGCCTCTAAGATCATCATAATTATTATCATCAAATTCATTATCATCCATCATCATCATCATCATCATCATCATAGGAGGGAAGAGGTAAGCCATGGCTTCTCAATTCAAGGCTCTGCTGTGTCTGTAGGTAGTCATTTCTGGTGATGTTCCCGTGTGTCTCAGTTGGTAGAGCATGGCACTTGCAACACCAGGGTTGTGGGTTCAAATCCCACGGGGGACAAGTACGAAAAAATTTATGCACTTACTACTGTAAGTCGCTCTGGATAAGAGCGTCTGCTAAATGACAAAAATGTAAAATGCCATTGTTGTTATCTCAAAACAAGACTGACTGCTTACTTACTTCAGAACCTCACTTAACCTTAGCTCAGGATTCAAGCATTTAAGGGGGACTCTTTTGACCCACTGCACACTAATATAATATATCAAACCACTAAACGACCACAATATGGAATTACCCATTTTATGGGCATAAATAGTACTATTTCCATCGCTCACATAATCTAATTTCAAACCACCTTTCCAGTGCTAGTGCCAATATCTACAATATGTAAAATATATGCCAATGCTACTTCCAATAGAAATAACTAATGTATACACGCTATGGTCAGTAGCCTAAATCAAGGCACCTCCAGTCAGTATTTCTTCCAGTAACGATGTCTACCATGTTAACAGTAAAGAATGGTACTGTACTCACTGTGGTCCTTACCCTGCCCGGCTGCGGTAGCCACACTGGGCTGGGGCGTGGCAGGCATCAGGGCCTGCCGGATGGCCTTCTCCCAGCCCTGGGCCACCTCCATGCCCACGCCTGAAGCTGCCAGCGCGGGGCTGTCGTAGTGGCCCCCTTGGTTCTCCCCTACATAGTAGACCATGGTGGAGGTGATGATTTCAAAGCAGTGTGGGTTGCTGCCCTGGGTTAGGCTGCTGAGGTCCCTCGACTGTTCCACCTGCAGGATCTCTGAGAGAGGGATCTCCTGTGGGCCATGGGGGGAGGGGAGGGGAGAGAGAGAGAGAGAGAGAGAGAGACCAGAGTCATAACATACACAAACATAGAGCGCCATGCCATCACCGCTAGTGATTGGGGAGAGAGAGACACAGAAGACAAATACAACCATGATAGACATAGAAAATGCCACAGCCTAGTGAACACTCAAACTGAGAAAGACAAGAGTCACTGAATCAATCACTAGCAAGACAGAAAGTCAGACCAGATGGAAGCAGACACCAAATGCAGAGTCGCTCACAGCAAGTCAGAGGTAACCGCTGAAAAAAGCTCCTCCGCTTAGCACGCGTACCAGAAACAGTAACCCAACGTTGGTCCTAGTCCCTTCCCACAGTGTAGTGTATCCACAGCCCCTGCCTAGTGCACAGCCTCTGTCTGACAGACCCTTACAGAAGTGGTGCGAGGGGCAGTTTGAGCACACTTTAAAAGTCCTCTTTCCCTCCAGCCTCACTGTCAAATGCAAATCAAAGAAGAAGAAGGAAGTCCCTAGCCAATAGGAGCCCCTGCAGTGCCTCGCCCCCCTTGTCCCCCCCCCCTCTCCTCTGGGTCCCCTGAGGGCGGCTCACCACAGAGTATCAGATGAATTGGTTAGCAGGGCCGGCCCACGTCAACCAGGCCTGGGACCATTGAAGAGAAGAGGCCCCATGATTACAAGGCAGGACACCAGAGCCCCATCTGAGCACGAGCCGCGCTGCCAGCCACTGAGACGCAAGACACGGTGACTACTGTTCCACAGACTATCGGACAACAAAAACCCTGGGCGGGGGGTGGGGAGAGGGGCGGGGGGTGCTAGAGACAGAGTGAAGCCCCCTTACCCCCATCAAAGGGTTTTGGAAACCACAAGTACAGGGGTCTCATCTTCAAAAGAGAAGCCTATGTGACTTCCAAATGTAGAAAATGTCAGTCATCTGATGCGTCGACACACAACCACCACCGCTAATCAGATGAATGGAGGTAGAGAGAGGAGAGGAGGGGACAGCCACACGACAGTGGGCTAAGGGCTGAGGAGAACATGAGAGAAGGAGAGTGAGAGAGAGAGAGAGAGAGAGAGAGAGAGAGACAGTGGGGGGAAATGCCCAAGAGACACAGAGGCTACAGTGGATAACCTAATGTGACCACTGGCTCAATCTGTGGAGCACACACTAGCAACAAATAAAACAGAACGACCCATATGACGAGATTTGAGAGAATGCGAAAGACAGCTAGTCTTCAATCAGTCTCCTGAGTGCTGTGCTAAGTGGCCAGTTGATAATAAACTACCATATAAAGCTGCCTCTAAACACACCCTGAACGTCTCAATCCCAGCTGTATAAAAGAGTGGGGTTTCCTCACTGCTGGGAAGATGGAGGGTGTGTCTGTCACAGCCGTAACACTCGGAAAGTGGAGCTTTAAAACAGAGTTCTGTCTCCCCAACAGAATAATATTAGATGACAGCCTGGCAATTAGATGTCTACCTATACATACAAACACATTCTCTCTCTCTCCCCTCCCTCTTTCTCTCCTTCCTTCTCTCTCTCCCTCACACACTGAACGAACTACATCTCACAAAACAAAAGTCGTTAGAAACCATAGCACCATAAACACCATCCCACTGCGTCACATCTCTCGCCACAATCAGGGGAGGATTCAAAGTAACACACCCACACGGTACAGAGGCTGGGACAGGCTCACAGTGGCAAGGCTGTACTGAACATGTGGAAGCCTTTACACAGAGGGAACAAGGACTGCCTGGCTGCCTTAGTCCCAAGTGTCTAATTCCACAGCTATTAAGCCCCTGTGGCATGGTAAAGACTGCCTACGCCACTGGTGTCACAATGGGACTGTCACACACTCTCTGAAGCTGGAGTTATAGCATTTGGAAATCAGTGTCAAAATGCATAAATCTAATTTATTCAAACTAGACAACAAACGTTTACGGTGATGGTTTGGTAAGACATTTCAGATAGGATATCTGATATGGGTGATGCAACTTGTTACAATGTATTGTATAAATGTGTTGGACATCCTTTTCAGGCAGATTTCCCCAGCAAAAACCCATAACATTTTCAGAGACAAATACTGCTGATGACAACGTGGCTCTAGAAGAAAACTTTCACTCTGTGACCATGGAGAAATGTCCGTTTACTGCCTGTGAAACCACAGGAGTCAGGCTGGGGGATTTTCTCTGTTTATTACTGGCTTCACTGTAGTTTACAGTTGCAACACAGCAGCCCCCAGTCTTTGTCACACCATCACAGACACCATTACATTGGGCAGGCCCTTTTAACATACTATACACCCAAGACAATAAAACACATTTATATATATATATATATATATATATATATATACAAAAAAAAATCTGGTAGATTTATTTTGGATCAATTCAGCGTTTGGTTGAAACCATTGGGTTTCAGAGAATTATTGATCTGTTTACGTTGTTCTATGACATTCAATGTAAATGCAGACTATGATGCCCATTTCATTCTGCCATGTCTCTGCCTCTGTCAGGTAATAGATGATATGTGGTGTTGCTCTCTCACCTTATAGAACTTGGCTCCAGTGTCGTTCTGGAACAGGCTGAGGCTCTTGGTGTCCAGCCTCCAGTAGTGTCTCTTCCTCAGGTTGTCTCTGCTGGTGTAGTGCACCATCCAGCCCTCCCTCACCATGGTGGAGCTCCTCCTCTTGGTCTGTTTGATGGACTGGACCACCCGCATCAGAGGGATGTTACTGCTGGTGGATGGGCTGGGGACACACACACACAGCATTTTTTATGAAAACATTAGTCACAAAGTGCTTAGCAGAAACACGGACCTGAGTGTGAAAAGAGCAAGGAAGAAGGTCCATTGATCCAGACCTGTTTGATAACTACATGATCTATGTTTACACAACTATTACATAAGTCTAACTCCAAGTTAGCTCAAATATGGCCCAGTAATGTGGGGTGTCTTGCTGTATAATACCTGATGGTCTTGATGGGCTCCTCGTCCTTCTCGCGGTCCAGAAAAGGAGAGTCCATATAGAACATCTTGTCGTCTGGGGTTGAAGGTTCGTCAGAGTCATCCAGTAGTCCTCTAGTGCTCTCCACATCACTACTATCCACCTCCATGGTGCTGTCAGAGTCAGGCCCTGGGCTGGCAGGCTCTGTGGACACACACCATCACACAAATATGAGTATGTCTCTCAGTTACATCTTACCATGATAAATGGGCATGGAATGTGAAAATACGAAAGCAGAAATGACCTCCATTGAAGGAAACCTCGCCCAAGCAGTCTCTTGGTACCTTTGAGGCACACCGCTTATGGCAATTGAATTTACAATCTGAAAAGAAAGTAAATAAAAAAACATGGATTTAATAACTCTAGAGGGAGAAAGGTAAATAGGTCTAGGCAGATATGGACATAGAGACATACAGAGAAACAGAGACAAAGGGAGGTGGCACCTTACCTTTGCACTGCATGCCCTGGCGGAAGAGGCCCTTGAGCAGGCGTTTGCAGTACTGGCAGATGGTTGGCCGCGTGTATGTGTGGATGGCAAAGGTGTGAGGCACCTTGACTCGCCCCAGCACCATCTTCTCCATCCAGATGGGCCGGCCACTCCACGACAAGATCCTCTTCCCTGCCTCCTGGTGGGAGCGCTGTTGCAGGGGAGAGATGGGAAGGAGACAGGGTGTGAAATAAATAAAGGAGAGAGGGAGGGAGAGGCAGATGGAGCAAGTGTGGGAACCAAGGAATGTAGGGATGGAGAGATAGATGAAAGCAGGAATTGTAGCAAGTGGGAGTGAGGGAGAGATTAATTAAACCAGGGAAGAAAGGAGATAGCAATAGAGGGAAGAAGAGGAGGGATGGAGGGTCTGTTCAGTGAGACAACACAGTCACATAGGGACCAAAGAGGACCAAATACACAAACATGGGCTAGAATTAACAAGGGTTTAATTTAATTGGCCTAATTGTATTTTCATTGACCTCTCATAAGCGTTGGTCACCAAGGAGAATATTCCATCCAGCTAGCCTCAAACAAACACTGGGAGACCATCAGACCATCCAGTTTATCAAATTCAATTTGCTGTGTCTTTGTGGTGTTTCACATCAAGATAGTAAGATACTCCAAGAGATTTGGCTGACAAACATAGACAATTGATAAGAAACAACAAGACTTGACCTTGTAGTTGATTTATTGCCAACTGACAAATGTGTCTCAATCGGAAATAACAGTTAGATTGCTCGTCCTATACACCCGCGATAACATCCGCTAAATATGTGTATGTGACCAATATAATTTGATTTGATTTGATTGCGTCAAAAGTTAACTAAACCTTCAGTCAATCACATGAAACCTATGAGAAAGTATGTGGCTAGAACTGGTTAGTAACTGTACTGTAGATAAAAATCCTACAGTACATTCACAACGGGCATAGAGGGACAACGTTGCTGCTTTGCAAGCAATAAACTGTGCTTGGGTGTAACTTTATAAGGGATTGCGTTTACATAGCCCCTTTCACTGGGTCTCAAAGCTCTTTGTATTGTACAGAATGTATCTTTACCACAGGACATCTCTCTACACCAATGGAAGCACAGGTCTTACCTCCTCCGGGACGACCACAGCATGTTCAGTGGGACCGGGGAGGGGCCGGGGGACTGAGAGCAAGGGGCCCGGCAGGGACACGTTGGACAGACGTCTCTTCCTCACCCCACTGCAGTTGTTGGGGATCTTAAAGGCGCAGCGCTTGTGGTAGTTCAACCCACAACCTGGAAGTACACAGGACACAGTGGTCACTAATTATACATGAAGAATAAAACACATACTGTACAGTACAGGCTATATGTAACAAACAGACTGTATCTTTGGATGTCAGCATTGGGCTTGATACTCAACAACAGCTCATACCCAGCCATATCTTAAGACATGTATTAAGACATATTTTTGATGACATCTTGAGATATATTAACGCGTCTTAAGAAGGAAACGAAGTAAATTAATACAGTAGGAAAGCACTACTTTGATTCAACCCACCAGCTTCATTCTCTTAAACGTCCACAAGAGGACTCTCTACATGCAGTCATTTGATCTCATCCTTCCTCAGAGAAAGCTTCAAATGCTTTTTAAAGACAAAAATAGCAGGGAATAAAATAGATCTGATCCAATAATCACAAATCACATGCAATTCTACATTCCACAATTCTACATTTAAATATAATTTGACTAGGTATACCAGTCCAAATCTTTCATCCTATCGGAGCGCCTGTTGCATTCCTGTCCCGGCTTGCCCTGGGGCAGGTTGTGTTATACTGAGGGACAGGCTGAATCCATCAGAGAGGGTTAGAGTAGAGCAGCAGCACATGCTTTCTAAAGAGCCTTTGAAGGCTGAGTCCAACGCTTGGCATCAGCACACTGGGCTCCATTCAAACAGGCCGGCCAGCTCTTCAAAGACCTTCTTTAGTAATGGGAGGAAGTCACACACTCCACTGAGGCTTCCTGCTGCACGGTGCTACCAGCCTTAATGTACCCCTCAGACTGGACCAAGAGAAGGGCCTGCTTGATTTGTGTGTGTATGAGTGTACGAGTCGGGTAAACATTTGACACCTTGGCCTTCGGTTCACAGTGCGCCCCAGCATTGATGTGAGAGAGAGCTTGATGTGTGTGTGTGTGTGCGTGCGCTTACCTTCACATTTGAGCCCCTGCCGGACGAGGCCCCAAAGCATCTCCCCACAGTAGTCACAGAAGGTGGGGGCTTTGTAGGAGTGGACATAGAGGGCATGGGGCCGGATCTGGAAGTCCTCTACTGTGGCTAAAGCTGCAATTCAGACACAACTTAAAACAAAAACATGGCAAACAAAACTAAAGGAAAACAAATAAACTTCAAACACAAAAACCCTGAAACCAAATAATGAAAATGACAAAAAAATAAAATAATAATTATACTGAACAAAAATATAAACACAACATGCAACAATTCCCCACCCCCCGACAAAGGATAAAATGCTCACTAACAGGGATGTAAACAAATTTGTGCAAAACATTTGAGAGAAATACGTTTTTTGTGTGTGTGGACATTTCTTGGATCTTTTATTTCAGCTCATGAAATATGGGACCAACACTTTACATGTTGCGTTTATATTTTTGTTCAGTGTAGGTAAGAGGTATAGGGCTCCATTTTCGGCTGGCGCGACAGCTGCGCAAGTGCAAAACGCACGCTAGTTTTCAATTTCAGCATGTAAAAACTGGCGCTTTGTTGTTTTCCACCCCAGGCGCCAGGTTCAGCAATTTACCTGTCTAATATCAGCTCGCTTGCACTGATGTGGGGGGGGTGGCAATATTCTAGGTGTGTCCTTTAAGAACAAGGAAAAGCAGGTCTTAGCGGTAACACGGTTGGCAATGGCATGGATTTTGTGAGCGGAAGCGCAACCTATCCAGCCGTGACGCACAGTGCCCTTTTGCTCATGGAACAAGAGAGGAGATGTATTTTTTGTACCGGTAACCCTCATATTTATAAACATAAAAAACAAATGCTTTTTCGCATTTGGTTTCATTTAATTCAAAGTCAACCAAGTATAGACCTATAGCCTCCCCTGCCTCAATGAAGGCAGTTTTTTTTGTCCTGCCCAATGCGTTCGCCAAGTAGCCAAGCCTATCAATAAAGGTTTTGGCTCGTGAGACAGCTTTAAATACATCTTAAATCACCAAAGCTTTATTTAAAGATCAAGTTTTGGAGCAGCAAAACAGTGAGCGGACAACCCCTGCTATTTCTGGAGAAGTGTGAATGCAATCTGTAAGATGGTTCCATTATGTTTTTAAAACATTATATTTGGGAGCAGTATAATGGTGAGTGGACATTCTCTTTTCCAGCTTCTGTGAAAAGTTTGGATGTGCGTAAAAACCCTCCATTGTCTGCGTTGCCTTAATATTATACGCCCACAGGGAGAAATGATGATGCCTGTAACTGTATTTAGACATAGCCTATTTTAAACAAGTTGTTTCGTTTTGATTAGAATTTGATTAGAATTATTCACTCTCATTTTAGGCTTTATCAATAGTGAATTTAATATTGCTTATTGACAATGTTTGGTATGTCCATGGCTCAGCCATAATGCAATTTACAATAGGCCTAGCACCTATATCAGAGTAAATGCTATGTTTAACAATATATTTCCATATTGAAACCATGCAATTACTTAGAACAATGTGGACTGAAAACATGTACAACAAATGTAACAAAGATGAGATAGGCCTACATTTTGTTATTTTGTTTCTGTAGACTTTTTACTTATTTATTTTATTTACCAAACTAGGCTATAATGGACTCCATTGGAATTGATGACAACGCAGTACATAAAATACCATAAATACGCATCTTGACGCAACCACATATTTAGCCATGGAGCATGTTCTAATTGGCCAGTGAGGGGTCAAGCCTCTTTATTAATTAAAACGCAGCATTTCCGCCCCACCGCCAGCTACTGCACCCATAATTCCTGCAGTGAAAACAGCAAAAATATTTCCGACAACCCTGGACCTAAAGCGCTACCGCCAATGCAAAAATGTACCACTGTGTTAGGTTTGTTAAAATAGAGCCCTGAGTGTACACTGTAATGTAAAGGCATTTTAGGCTGTTTTGTCAGCCGGTAATAGTCAGATGATCTACTGGACCATCGTCACTTGTGTTATTGGTATGTCTATGTGCATAAAATAAGCTATAACTCAGATCTGGTGAACAAACTGTTCACATAGTGGAGTGAATGCATCCATATCAGAGAGTCTGACCTGGGAAGTACCTTATAACGGGCAGTTATGTACAGTAGGAGATGCTGGAGGGGAAAGCTGTTCTGTTCCGAGGTCGTGGTTTCTCTCTCTAGGGCTCAGTGCTATAACATCCCATTAATAGCTCAGTGCTATAACAGCTACTTACAGTAGGAGGCGGTACAGCAGAAACTAACAACAAGCTACAAGATTGTCTATAACATCACCTGTTTCAGAGTGATCTGGCATTACAGAGCACACTAAAGACCACTGAGACAGACAGTCTCATTCAACAGACAGGACCAGAGAAGACCAGATCCCATGATAATGATGTTCTTTAATCAGCGAGTTCATAGTATGGTTTGGTTTGTTTCCTATCTGGACTGAAACACAAGGTAGGCCCAGCCATTACCCAGGGGGCTTTGCTCCATCTGCTGCTGTGGTTTGTGTTGGAGGGATATGACTGAGGTCATTCTTGGAAGGGACAGTTAGTTCACAGGAGTGACTCATCCAAGATGTGAATAAGACATCGCTATTCGCTACCAAACCTGTGTGATTACATCCCCCTCCGGCACCAGAGAGAAATCTCTTTCTCACAGTTCTTTTACAATAATTTATGCTGTTATGGTTTTCCCATTGACCAACAAGGGAATCATAATCTTTTACACCAGAATTTAGGTGGAAAACCCTGCGTAATGTCACTAACTATTTGTGTGTGTTTTTTAGTTTCAGTGGGTGTTTTCTCTGATCCAGTTTTACAATAAGACCAAGTTGACATACCAGCATCCCATGAAGGATGCACCAGGGACATTCTCAGTAGCTGTTGCCGTGACGAGATGCAGCTCTGAACAACAAATGTGACATCTATCCACTTAGGGAATAAAATTCACTTTACTGAAAATCCCCAAATACCTGGAAGAGAGAACATTCTTTGGAAGATAAAATAGAGAGACACACCAGGAAGAAAGAGAGAGCAAAACAGACAGCTGCGGTGAGGAACACAGATGGGCGATAGTGGGGTAGACAGACCAAATTTGATAGGCCTAATGATTCCCCCAGCATCCACAGATCACCTTATGACTTCACTTTCTACTGGAGGTCCTTGGACTGTCAAATCTAAAGGTCAAAGCTTAAAGAGCAGCACTATTGATTTCCATGTGAAAATTATACATATGGACACATAGCAACTCCATATGAATAATATATATTTAATTAACTAGCTATATAGATTAATTTCCCAAAAACAACCTGAAATGTGGTTGCTAATGAACTCGGTTTGTCTCTTCACTTGGAGGGAAACGAATAAAAACTTTAAAATAGTTGTCTTGTTGATTAGACAGTTTATGTCAGCGTGTTTCTTTGAAAGCTACTTTATGTAAGGTTTAACTACAGTAAACAAGCTAAGGCATGAGACATCCGAAACAAAAAAGATCTTTGGAGAACCAGATTTTCCCTATTCAAGGAAATATGACAGCAATTGGGTACGGGCACATTTTGGGTCGAACTTCAAAGCGTACAAAAAACTATAGAAAGTCACATGCCACCACACTGTGCATAGCTCCCTGGCAAAAACACATGAAAGAAGGCATTCATGGGCTTTTCAATCACATCCTAGGAAAGAAAACACACAGCCTATTAACGGCCTCAACTTTATGAAATGGTTGTTGAAATGTTTTGCATCAAACACCATAGAAGATTGAGCCAATAAATCAATTTCCACAAGCAGCAGGCCTGACATCAATGTGATGTCTGTTTGTTTCATTTTTGACTAATCAGGCTTCACAAGTGTCCATCAGACATAATTCAGAAGTTATAGTCTGTAACATTCATCACCGACTAAAAGTGCTATAAAATAAATATGTACATCCATTTTGTATGCCATATCCTGTCAAATAAGAAGGATGCTGAGTGAGTGTCATGACTCCCTCCGAGCTGCCTCCTCTCCTTGTTCGGGCAGGCTTCAGCGTTCGTCGTCACCGGCCTTCTAGCCACTGCCACTCCTCTTCTCATCATTCCATTTGTTTTGTCTTATTTTTCACACACACCTGTTACATGTCCCCTCATCAGTCTCTGTATAATTATTCCCTCTGCTCCCCCATGTCTTTGTGTGTTATTGTTCCATGTGGAGGTGTCGCTAGCTCGTGTTGAGCATTATGTTACTTTTATCGCCAGGATATTCACCCGTGTGTTTTGTTTTCCCAGTACGCATTTAAGTTGCACTGTACTTGGTTTACACATTGCTGTGGACTGCTGTATTGGCCTAATAAATCCTATTCTATGATTCACACCTCCTACGCCTGGCTCCGTCCTACTCACCTTGTTACAGTGAGATACAAACAGTGAGTGGGATTCTTGGAGCAAACAGCCCTCTCTCCATGTCCAACCCCCTGGTTAGGGATGGCCTGTCCACTATTCCAGAGCCGCCCTGCACAGCTCAGCATGTTAATACTCAGTGGGTCCACTACAATCACTTACTGCAGAGAAAACAAGCCAGGCCCTTTGAGTCTAGCGCCAAGAAAAATCAGCTCTGGCCTCCCTCTAACAGTGAGGGAGGTTTTAGGACCAAACCACTGAGCTGTTTGTCTCTCATAACCACAGAACTGAACAACAGGTCTCAAAGAATGTATAGGAATTAATGTTGTCTTTAAAGTATTTAATTCATTTAAATTAGAAGCAACTAAGGGAAGGATAAATAGTATGATTCAAAGATTCCTATTTTCAGTGTGCCAGACTAGAACAGCAAAGCATATCTGAGATTGCATTGCACCAGTTTGACACATGTAGATCTCCTCACCAGATGTAGGCCAACTATAAGGCTAAGACAAGGAAGAAGTGTGGGTGTAGAGCTTGTGGATGTGGCATTACTCTGACCTCACACAGCCATCCAGGTGCAACACTGAAGCTGAAATCTGTCAACCGTCTCAACCCAGAGGGAAGGAGACAGAGGAAACCAGAGGTCTCCTGGATACACTCATCTGGGGCTCACTGCTAAACACCAGCAGATCAGATCCATCCGGCTGCAGAGTTATTTCATGTCTGGATCCATGCAGACAATGCTTCTAGTTCTACCCCGTTGAGAGAGAGCGAGGAGGGGATGTCTAGTCCAGGTGGTGTGACTGTGAGGTGCTTCCCAATGGAGACAGATGGAACAGAACAGAACAGAATGCCTTTACGAGCCAGTGTTTGTTAGACTCAATAGTCAGCAGGAAACTGAAATAATCTGTGACAGGAAAAGAGAGGGGAAACTAGCCACCTGTCTCTGGAGGTGAGCTTTAGATAGGCGTGAAACAGCACTGTACAACACAGGTTTGAATGACAGAACATTTTCTTTACTGAATTAGTACAGATAGCCTACAGTACAAGTCAAAAAGTTCATAAAAGCAGTTAGGGCTGAACCCAGATCAGAACTACTCACCAGAGAGCACCACCTCTATCAGATCTCCCTCATGGATATCTTCTGCTGACATCAGCCTCTGGAGGATGTTCTCAGAGGTCAGGTCATGGCGGAAGAGCAGGATCTTGTCATACATGCCAAAGAAGCCACACTCCGGGAACTGGTGAGGAAGAACCAGAAAAACGGTTGTGAGTATCCACTATATCCAGAATGCATTGGGTGGAACACTCATAATCTAATGGCTTGACCAACAACATACACACAATAACTCATATACACTTTTAGAAATTGGCATCAGCTGATCAAGACCCTGTCTTAATATTCATTCAACAGTTGTTTGCTCTTTCTTTTACCCCTCTCATTTGGTTTGGCCACATTTATGATTATGTTCAATGAGGTTTGCCATATTTACTGGAGAAGTGCTACTAATTTGTGGTGGGCCCCCATCTGATAAATAGGAGTTTATATTGTATACAGTACTGTATAGAGCTCCTTCTCTGACTCACGGAGTAATGGCTGCCTTTATACAGTCATCATTGCCAGATCCAGCAAGCCTGTGGTGTAGGAATGGAACGGGGGTGAGGACACACTGGATGTGTGTGTGTGGAATGAACATTAGGCTGAATATCACCACAGAGAGAGAGAGGGAGCCTGAAACACAGCTGTTTAATCCACCCAAGCCACAATGAGTCACACACACACACACACACTCCTGCTCCCATTAACTACTTCCTGTGGCTCACGTCAGCAGTCAACGTGGAGGATGGAGGAGAATTCAAAACACACTGGCTCAGGAAGAGAGCTCACGTTCAAACACCTTTATCCCACTGAAACACTGAAACAGTGGAATGCACTGAATACAGCGGAAGGAAATACCAATCAAATGGCCATTCAATACAGCATGCCACTCTTCTCCATACAGCAATACAAGTAGGCTGAGTGCCACTAGGGGTAGGCTATTGATAATGAAAATGATATATCAAAACCGTACTGACATAGCCATTGTAATAACACTGTAATAACTTTTCTAGTCGATGGTGTGGAATACTTTAACTATTGCAGAAATTCTATCCAGCAGCATTACGAGCAATATGACAACTCAGCATCTGCTAGAAAAGACAGAACTGTCTTGCTCGTCTTGCTAGCCTTGGTTCTCAGCAGGCAGCCTGAGGTGAGCTCATTTCAACGGTGCTCTCCAGTAGCTGTGATGTAACCTCCAGCTTGGCAGTCCGTCAGGGCCGGTAATGCTCTGGTATCTCAGATAATGGCCCAGGCCAGCAGACAGCAGGCAGTGAGGGAAACAGAGGAGAGGAGAGGAGAGGAGAGGAGAGGAGAGGAGGAGGAGGGGTTCACATCCTGAGAGGAATGCCAGAGGAGCAGCAGCATCCTGCAACACAGCCAGGAAGTGAGCCAAGTCAATACTGAGTCACTTCCTGGTCCCAGACCCACAGTTTCCACACAGCTTCCACTGCTCGTGTCAAGACACAGAGGTTAAACACACACAGGTTATACACACATACATGCACACACTCACTAAATCACTGGCGTGCGCACACCCACACACACCTGGCTACACAATATCTTATTTTCATACACACAAATTCAGAATACATTGTGGTGTCATGTAGCAAAGTGGACATTTCACAACCTCAATCCAATCCAACATTTCCACTGGACATCGAGTTCTGTACAAGAAATGTACCATGTCTCTTGCTAAGCCTGCCTACACTGTATGACACTGTAACCATGGATCTCTCACTCACTGTCTTCCCTGGCAGGGGAGGTCATGTCCTCTGCCTGGCAGGAAAACGATGCCCAGTTTCTGTGAAGGGCAGCAATGCCTTTCTTCACTCCTCTCATCTCTCTCTTCATGAAAGGATAAAGTGTGTTTCCCCAACCCCTCTGCCAGTCAGCCAGCCAGCCAAGAGAAAGCCTGCCTTCATCAGCAGTGTGTCATAATCAGATGTAAGGGTTGATGGGGGCTGTCAGGGAGGAAGAGAGCCAGAGAAGGGCCTGGATGGATGTAGGGGGCCATCCTGTGTGGCGCTCATCAAAGCGGGCCCCTAGTGGAGGCCCCCTACAGGGCTGCTTCTCCCTGCCAACATGGCTGCTCTGGCAGGCTCACCTAACACAGCTGCTTCCCTGTCAGGGTCACACACAATGACCACGGAACAATGTGAGCAGTAACACCACGGCCAACGAGGACCACGGGCACCAAGGTTGGCACACAATACAGCAGAGAGGGGAACACCTGGAGCTCCTATAACGCTTCTCTCCAGGGTGGTGGAGCCACTGCTGCAGGCTGACACCAGGAAAGAGGACAGGGGTAGGGGCTACACTGACAAACTATGCAAACTGCTTTTAAATTACACTTGGGTACACTTTGAGATACTATAGAGCATAAACCAGAATTACTGTACTTTATTAACCCTTACATACAAATATTTATACACCCACCCCTAAACAGCACATTCAATGTGCCTAGTCCCCAGAGCAGCAGAGCAGAGCCTTGCTGAAGGCCATTAAATGGCCCAGTCATATAAACACTGATAAACTCCTGTGTTTAAAAGGCCTCCTTTATCCCTAATGCGTATGGAACATGAAAGGCTCTGTCTGTTAGCAGCTGCCTTACATAACTGCATGATCATCCACAGCAGCGCTCCCGGCTGGCCTGGGCTCTGGCGCTAATCTGAGGGGGTAGCCCTTGCTTCTAGTCTGCCTTTATACACAGCAGACCAGTCTGGATCTCCTCCTGTAGGCCTGATTCAGTCTGATGAAGGTCCATAGACTGAAGCGTCGCTATGCTTTTGGTCTGTCTAGCCTAATCCACCCATGGCCAGTACTAGGCCTCTAGACATGTCTAGTGGGAAGGAGGGCTGAGCAAGCTGGGAAAAGGGAGAGTGAGAGTGCTCACACACACCATAACAATGACCCCAGTGTTAGGGCTACTGCTGCTGGCTTTAACGTAGCTGAGATAAGCTGGGGTCCTGGGGAGAGCAGGGAGTTATGGGAACAAAGAGATAAGATTACCGGTGGGGAGAAGGGACCACAAAGGCTGTGTGTGTGTGTGTGTGTGTGTGTGTGTGTGTGTGTGTGTGTGTCTGTGAAGACAGGGTGCTGAAAGGAGGGTGTGAGAGCAAGGAGAGCTCAGTGGATAGGGATCTTATGATAGCTGCCCTGCTTTCCACAGGATCCCACTTCACTGGGCTTGGTGTTTTCATCGCTTTGGGATTTTATTGAGGAGGATTGCAAGAGTTTATCCAAATGTAGACATTACTAAACAACATCAAGAACATGTATCTTTACACAGCTTAATGTTTCCAAAACAAAAGACATCCTAAACCCTGTCATACTTTAAAGTGATTAATTGCATGGCTCTAGCATTATCGCATCCTTCCGGTGTCCAGAGCGCCATGTCAGGGTGAGGTTTTCCTCCATACATCTGACATTCCTGCTCTCCAGACCCGGGGCCCCGGGACCAGCCCCCTCCACTTCCCCTCCTCCCCTGCTCTGAGACCTGGCCAGCTGGAGTCACCTCCTGTTGGCATTTACTGCAACACTTTCCACTGCACGTAGTTCCCATTCCAGCTGCATGCAGCTCAGGGCTACAGATTGGTACAGTTCTGTAATGGGGAAAGGGCTGGGTAGAGGGCTGTGGAGAGAGCTGAGTAGAGGGCTGGGTAGGGGGCTCTGGAGAGTAGTGGAGCAGGTCGGTGTCCACATCACTAAGGAATTAACACCAACACAGTCGTGAAGAAGGCACGACAACACCTCTTCCCCCCCAGGAGGCTGAAAAGATTTGGCATGGGCAAACAGGTCCTCAAAAAGTTATACAGCTGCACCACTGAGCGCATCTTGACTGGCTGCATCACCGCTTAGTATGGCAACTGCTTGGCATCCGACCGCAAGCCTCTACAGAGTGTAGTGCGTATGGCCCAGTACATCACTGGGGCCGAGCGCCCTGCCATCCAAACCTCTATACCAGACAGTGTCAGAGAGAATGCCCTAAAAATGGACAAAGACTCCAGCCAACCAAGTCATAGACTGTTCTCTCTGCTACCACATGGCAAGCGGTACCGATGCACCAAGTCTGGAACCAACAGGACCCTGTACAGCTTTTACTCCCAATCCATAAGACTGCTAAATAGTTAACCAAATAGCTACCCAGACTATCTCCATTGACCCTTTTTGCACTAACTCTTTTGAATCATTACATGCGATGCTGCTACTGTATATTATCTATCCTATTGCCTAGTCACTTTCCCCTACCTATATGTACATATCTACCTCAATTACCTCATACCCCTGCACATCAACTCGGTACTGGTACCCTGTGTATATAGCCAAGTTATCGTTACGCATTGTCTATTTATTTGTTGTGGGTTTCTTTCTATTCTTTTTCTATTCTACACATGTTGTTTACCAAGCACGTGACAAATACACAGGAGGGAAGAGAATAAGCTGTGCAAGTTTACTGTATCCAAAATGGGGAATAGCCAGGTGATTGTAAAACGTATGTATGACTGTATGCATGCATGACTGTAAGTCACTTTAGATGAACGCTTCTGCTAAATGGCATATATCATATATTGATTGTATACAGTGCATTCGGAAAGTATTCAGACCCCTTGACTTTTTCCACATTTTGTTACGTTACAGCCTTACTCTAAAATTGATTAAATTGTTTTTTTTCCTCATCAATCTACACACAATACCCCATAATGACAAAGCAAAAACAGGTTTTTAGATTTTCTTTACAAATTTATAGAAAATAAAAAAACTGAAATATCACATTTACATAAGTATTCAGACCCTTTACTCAGTACTTTGTTGAACCACCTTTGGCAGCGATTACAACGTTGAGTCTTCTTGGGTATGACACCAAAAGCTTGGCACACCTGTATTTGGGGAATATCTCCCATTCTTCTCTGCAGATCCTCTCAAGCTCTGTCAGGTTGGATGGGGAGCGTTGTTGCACAGCTATTTTCAGGTCTCTCCAGAGATGTCCGGGCTCTGGCTGGGACACTCAAGGACATTCAGAGACTTGTCCCGAAGCCACTCCTGCGTTGTCTTGGCTGTGTGCTTAGGGTCGTTGTCCTGTTGGAAGGTGAACCTTCACCCCAGTCTGAGGTCCTGAGCGCTATGGAGCAGGTTTTCATCAAGGATCTCTCTGTACTTTGCTCCGTTCATCTTTGACTCGATCCTGACTAGTCTCCCAGTCCCTGCCGCTGAAAAACATCCCCACACCATGATGCTGCCACCACCATGCTTCCCCGTAGGGATGGTGCCAGGTTTCCTCCAGACGTGACGCTTGGAATTCAGGCCAAAGAGTTCATTCTTGGTTTCATCAGACCAGATAATCTTGTTTCTCATGGTCTGAGAGTCTTTAGGTGCCTTTTGGCAAACTCCAAGTGGGCTGCCGTGCCTTTTAATGAGGAGTGGCTTCCGTCTGGCCACTCTACCATAAAGGCCTGATTGGTGGAGTGCTGCAGAGATGGTTGTCCTTCTGGAAGGTTCTCCCATCTCCACAGAGGAACTCTAGAGCTCTGTCAGAGTGACCATCGGGTTCTTGGTCACCTCTCTGACCAAGGCCCTTCTCCCCCGATTGCTCAGTTTGGCCGGGTGGCTAGCTCTAGGAAGAGTCTTCCAAACTTCTTCCATTTAAGAATTATGGAGGCCACTGTGTTCTTGGGGATCTTCAACGCTGCAGAAATGGTTTGGTACCCTTCCCCAGATCTGTGCCTTGACACAATCGTGTCTCGGAGCGCTACAGACAATTCCTTCGACCTCATGGCTTGGTTTTTGCTCTGACATGCACTGTCAACTGTGGGACTTTATATAGACAGGTGTGTGCCTTTCCAAATCATATCCAATCAATTGAATTTACCACAGGTGGACTCCAATCAAGTTGTAGAAACATCTCAATGATGATCAATGGAAACAGGGTGCACTTGAGCTCAATTTCGAGTCTAATAGCAAAGGGTCTGAATACTTATGTAAATAAGGTATTTATGTTTTACATTTTTAATACATTTGCTAAAATGAATAAAAACCTGTTTTCACTTTGTCATTATGGGGTATTGTGTGTGGATTGCTGAGGATTTTTATTTATTTAATCCATTTTAGAATAAGGCTGTAACATAACAAAATGTGGAAAAAGTCAAGGGGTCTGAATACTTTCCGAAGGTATTGATCATATTGATTGGTTGCACATGGAGGCACTTGCATTGGCAAGCTCTATCGTAGCTGTGTTGTTGTTAGGCAATAAGGATGACTAACGTAACAGAGTGGCATCCAGGCTGGTTAGAGAAATGGCACACACATATTGGGTCAGGTACCATAGTGACTAAGCATGGCCTTTGTAATCAACACACACTGTGGGGCTAACAGCACACAACCATTCAGCCCTACTCTGCACAAAGAGACGCAGCGCGACCACACACACACCAAAGACACCAACATGGCAAATCAATGTGTGAGGTCCACACGGCACACTGGAAAGCAGAGTGGAAAAGAGCTTCGCCATGGTAAGCTTTTGTTAAACTGACTAATCTGCCATTGATATGCTAAATCCTGTTAGAGGCAGAAAGAGAGGGAAGGGAAGGATAGATGGATGGGGCAGACGAGAAATATGATACATTTCAATGAGTGCCAAAAACAAATAGCCTCAGAACACACATGGAAATCGAGTCTGACACAACTGTTCTGGTTTGAATGAACAAACCCGTTTAAATGAACAAACCCATGTCAGGCTACAGTTAGTCTCTGAGAAACAAGATTTACTTCTTGCTTAACTGCAACAAATTTCAAAAGAACACTGAATCTAAGATGCTAATGAATTTGAGAATTGATGTTGTCATAAATCACCCAGACTACTCAATGTAGAATAACGAACAGTATTGATAGTATTCAAAAAACAAACAAGGACAAACAAGATAAAACGTTGCTGTATCTTGATTGGTGTATCTTGACATGTCAGTGACACCAATGTAAAACATTCCTTCAATGCGTTAAAAGCTCAAATATTTTCAAATTCAGGGAAGGAAATCGGATGTGTAGTGCATTTTCTATGCTGGTGTGTGTGTGTGTGTATCTGTGTATCTATATGGTGCCTGTGTGTGTCTGTGTGTGTTTGTGTGTGGGGGGCCAAAGGGTATCAGTCATCAGTGTGAGAGGAGGGTAGTAACAGGGAAACCCTGTCAGAGAAGGGAGAGTGGAGCTGGCAGGGTCTGACAGATGGACACATGATTACACTGAGGAAGGTGTGCTGTCTGACCCGGGCTGCCTGACACCTTTATGAGGCTGGCCCTAGGCCAAGTCTGCAGTGATGGACAGCTACAGTACAGGCTTTGTTTAACCAAACCCATGTTTCAACAAGCAACTGGTACTGCTATTTGGCTGTGTAATATGAAGGATGATACTCAAGGAGAACATCAAATGAGCTATATACGCTACTTACTCCAGCGGCGGCAGGTAGCCTAGCGGTTAAGAGCGTTGGGCCAGTAACCGAAAGGTCACTGGTTTAAATCCCTGAACCAGGGCCTCCCGAGTGGCGCAGCTAAAGCCTGGGGTTCGATCCCAGGCTGTGTCATTACCGGCCGTGACCGGGAGTCCCATAGGGCGGCGCACAATTGGCCCAGCGTCGTCCGGGTTAGGGGAGGGTTTGGCCGGGGGGAATTTACTTGGCTCATTACGCTCTAGCGACTCCTTGTGGCAGACCGGGTGCCTTCAGGCTGACTTTGGTCATCAGTTGAACAGTGTTTCCTCCAACACATTGGTGCAGCTGGCTTCTGGGTTAAGCAAGCGGGTGTTAAGAAGTGCAGCTTGGCGGGTCATGTTTCGGAGGACGCATGACTCAACCTTCGCCTCTCCCGAGCCCGTTGGGGAGATGCAGCGATGAGACAAGATCCTAATCACGAAATTGAGGAGAAAAAGGGGGGTGAAAATTACAACAATAAAAAACAAATTCTGCCTTTGAGCAAGGCAGTAAAACCCCTAACAACACCTGCTCCCCGAGTGCCGATGACATGGACGTCAAATAAGGCAGCCCCCCCCTCTCTGACTCTGAGTTTGGGTTAAATGCAGAAGACACATTTCGGTTGAATGCATTGAGTTGTGCAACTGACTAGGCATCCCCTTTTCGTTCCCTTACTCCACTAGTGACTCTGCAGCAACATACAGAAAAATGAGATCTTGTGATTCCTGTGAGGGTATAGCCTCTACATCAGTACTAGGCGTTACATGGTCAATATGTTAGGGCCACAATCATTTTAGAACCACAGAAGGCTTACAGTTAATTTTTAGTAGAATATTAGTGGGTCGTTCCACGAAAAGAACACAGTTTGCGTCAATATTTTAAGTAGAAATTGTGCACCAATATTGAATTTTAAAAGCCTGTTATATTAAATTAAGTTCCATTTAATACAAATCACATGGGAAATTCAATACATCAGATTTTTTATATCTATAAAGACTTGCTAAAGTGCCAAAAACCTGCATTTTGACATGTCCCTCGCCATGTTTTTCTGACTTCTAGGAAGATTTTAACCCACTTAACCACAAAACTTCTCAAAGTTTTCACTATCATTGTAAAGCACTAATTATGTTCTTGCTTTGACAAAGT